TTGACTTTGCCATGGGAGCATTAACACGAAGAGAACATATCAGTCAGGCCACACTCAGGCCCTAAATGGAATGTCAAAAATATTCAGACACAAATTAATATTTGTTTATGCATTTTTCAAAATCCGTTTCTCATAAGTTCGCTCGCCAATGTAACATTTTAAACACATATTTTTGGTTAGCCTACATTGCTAACACAATCAGAATTTACTGCAATTCGTGTGTAAGGAATCTGATTTTGGCCCATCCATTCTATAAGCAGCTAATCTGCCTCTACATTTCTATAATTCTTCCCACATCTCTCCACCAATTTTAATGAGCGATGTGTCAAAAGTTATTCGGCTTATCATTACGGTGTTAATTATCCCCTCTATCATTTACAATGTATCAGCACATGATGCAAGCTCTATTTAAAATAATACAATCGATAGGTGTTAGCATATGAAACGTTGGGGTGGGGGGGAATTCCCATCAGAATGTTTGAAACTGTTAGTTCAGCACATACTATAAACAGGGGATTGAATGATAGCTAGTCATACCGTTGATCGGAGCAAAATGGCTTGCAATTTAAGAAGTGGTTCTCTTGGCATTAATTCGATGATTGCGGTAATGAAGGTGGTGGGAGTGCATCTCTATAAATACCGCTGCTCTGGTGATGTTTATAGTCACAGAATAGTAACACGGAGTGGGATAAGATGTACGGTACTTGCTGTTTTGAGGCTTTGCGTAAGCTTTAAAGAGACGTATTTGGAATAGATATTCCCATGGCAGTCGGAATCCGAATCTCTTTATCCAGGAGAAATCTGATGAGCTATGAAGCTCTTTTTTCACGGTGTCCAGTAGGGGGCAGGTCAGAAAGTTACAACAACACACAATACAAACAACGATGGGAGTTCAAAATATAGGAAAGGTAGGCAAATCACTAAAAATAAATGAATAGAATAGAAAGTATGATTTCAAATTGCATTTCAAAGTGTGCTTCGAGTAATTGACAAATCAACAACCTTCAATTCCGATATCAGGAAGCCACTGGAGCCATGCACTTTTAAATCTCGTTTGAAAACTCATTTCTTAAGAACTCCTTTTTGTGTTTACTTTGTTGTCCTTCCCCCGCACCGCTGATTAGTATGGTTGTCTACGCACGGTGTGAAACAAGTTCGACATGATACATACATACAAGATTAAGGCAAATTTCAATTATATTTTGCGTTTGCTTGAATCCAGAATTTCTGGGAGATGAGCAGTCACCACACACTCTCTCTCTCTCCTCCAGGGAAATTGCTGAGCAGACACAGAGCAGGCAGTGAATCTGCTCCTCGGGTGACAAGAGAGCAGGAATGGTTTGGATTATGATTCGCAGTTGGGTTACACGGGCCAGTTAGACCTCACAATAGTGGCTTTGAATTCGGAATTGTGTTAATTTGGAAATTACTGTATCCAAAGAGGCAATGCTTTAGCCTGGATAATATGAAATATTGTAATTCAAAGAAAAATAAGACTACTACATTGGTGCTTTTTTTGTGCCAAAGCAGTCCAGTTGACAGAAACAAATCATGCTGTCATGCAATTCAAAATGCTCGCATTGTAAACGTGATAAATTCGCGACATGAATAAACAGACTCGTACAAATGCTGTACGATATGTGAGCGATCTCATGTGTCTGTTATATGTGTGTATGTATGTATGTTGAACTTCTTTCGCACCGTACGTAGCCAACCTTACTAATCGGAGGTGTGAAACATAATACTGTACAGCCGTTATTCAATCCACTGCGAGATGAAGGCCTCGCCACGTCCTGTTTGTTTGATCATACTTCACCAGCCTGCAGCTATCGTGCTGTGACGGTTCCACCTGAAGACGGAAGCTTGTGTTGCCTCCGAAACGTCGTGATTTTTATTTAATTTTGTATTTTATTTTATTTTGTATTAATTTTAATTTTAATTTTTTACCTACGTGACTTTACCGAAAAAACCTAAGAATATGAATCATTGCAGTCACGAAAGCTTCAAATCTAGAATTCACCAGCCTGGTCAATGCAGGTCCGTGCAGAGGGAGGGACCAGTGCTAGTTTCAGACGTCTCCTACTTATTTCTCACGTCCGTCCACCAAAACTAAATGTCATTCCAGCGCTTGCAGGTCGCCTGCTGCGAGATATTGCACAGTGCAGGGGCCTTCCTCGGTGGGTCGGCAGAGCAAGACGGCCTGCAATGCACAACAAGAGCTCGTCACCAAATGGGCCGCCACCGTGGCGAGATGTTAACGACCTCGCCTGGTATGCGGAAGGTTGCGGGTTCAATCCTGGCCCTGACGCCTGTTTGTATATTTGGAGTTTGCATGTTCTCCCTGTGGTCGCATGGATTTTTCTCCGGGTCCTCCGGTTTTTCCCCCCTCCACATTTAGAAACACGCGTTTAGAGTAGGTCCTTGGGAGCGGCGGTGTCGTGGTTTTTGCGCTGCGCGATGAACCCGGCGACCCGGGTTCGATTTCTGCTCACACCGGTGGCGATCATCTAAACTGGTCATGGGCCTCTCAATGGTCGACTCAGCCTTAAACGAGTATCTGGTGCAGTGATTTAAAAAACATCGCCACTCGAAAGACAAAGGTGCTGGCTACCCACCCCCTCATATACTGTGCCAGCCTTCATAGGTCATTTCTAACAGCACTTGCCACAACAGTCTGTTCAGGCTATCTGGCGATCTGTGGCTTTGTGTTTTTGTTAGTTACAGCTGGGAATTGAACTTGGGTCACTGGTTTCATCGTGCAGTTTCACTAAGTACTGCTGCATCTCCGCTGGATTAAGCCTAACCTAATTTATATTTTTATTATTTGACAGATTTTTTATTCCAGGCACTTTGCGTTTGGATTTACAGAGCTAGTGTTTTTCATTGGGTGGTTTTATTGTTGCACCCCTACAATTTCATTGCCCCTGGTAAGTATTGTTCTCTTGGGACCTCTTATTGGTTTGTGAGCAGAACCGTCGAGACATAATTGCATTTCACAGTTTCCGTCCCATGCACTCCTCCCATACAAGTCACTCATAGTGGCATTCTGATGTTTGGAGAGAGGACAAAAATGGTAAGCATTGGCAGATGTAAGCAAATATAGGTCCTGCCATGCCATTGAATACTGTATCACCTTTTTTCAAGGTTTGGTTGTATTCAGCCAGATTTACCAAGAAATCCATCCGAAGAGGTTGGCTGTGCTTTATTTAAATATAGAGCACAACTTAGCTTATCCAACTCTTTAGGGACTTGGGTATAGGGAGGTACAGTATGTCAAAAGGGTGAATAAAAAAAAAAACATCTTGAGAAATTACACCACCCATCAAAAAGGTTACCGGATAAAAAAAAATAGAGATAAACTTGACGTAAACACGGGAAACTCCTGTTAGAGGTAAGCGAATGTCTGTGAGGTTACGAGTACAGTAGAATGCTGCATGTATAGAGGTCGGATTTGTGATCACCTGCAGGAAATGACAGTTACACAGTGGAACATATACGGTGCGGTGCTGGGTGTAGGTGGTTAATTGGGTAGGGTGCATATGTGATGGTCGAATTGTGGTAATATATTTTTTGTTGCGTGTGCTTTTTGTTTTGGTGCCATTTCTTATTTTGTCAATTCGTTTTGATTTTGCTTTGTAGTCGGGTTTTCATTGGCTTGGTAGTGGCTCTATATGGGATTGTGGGCCTTATATATAATTAATATACTGCGTTATGGGATGCTATTACCATGAATGACGCGATATAAAATTAAAATATTATTATTAGATGTGACGTTAAACTGCTACACTTTCAACCGTGTTGTTGTTCTCATGTCACAATTCACTTTTGTGATGCATGTAAACGTTTTCATGATAAAAAACACATTTTCTTCTTATAGCAAAAATCTTTTTTTTGTTGCACTTAATTTACACCCATTATTTGCCATAAGATCTGCCACATTCATTACGACACCTATATTAAAAGTTGAGCTAATGTAGAGCATTTATCGCACAGAAGAATCAGCCATTAACAAATACCATTTATTTTTCTCCATCATGTGCCTACGTCTATAAAAAAAGGAGAAGAAATTGGATTTTGGTCGACACGTGCCCCAGTAAATGACCTAATCTATTTTGACAAGTCGGCCCAGATGAGAATCCTTTTATAGCATCCTTCAGGCGCAGATGGACACATTCGGTTCATTATCTGCACGTGCATTATTCTTTTTTTGGTGAAAGATGAAAAAAAAATTGAGCTGAAGCAGCTTCATCGTGCAATATCGTCGTCACAATGGGAAACACGTTGATACCGTAAGACAAAGATCCCCGTGTAGTCTTAACGGACTTTTGGGGCAAGTGCTGTTAGTGAGCACCTATCAAGGCTGGCATGGCACACGAGGGGTGGGTGGCCAGCACCACGCCCGACCGCCTTTGTCTCCCTTGTGGCGATGCATACACACTGCACCAGGTGCTCTATTGAGGCCGAGTCGACCTAGCGGAGGTCCAATACCAGTTCAGATAATCGTCTCTGGTGTTGGCCATGAAGGTAGCACTTTCACGCAGATACGGATCACGCCAAATATATTCACTTGAATTCGCGCGTGTCACGCACAATTGTTCCCATGGAGAGTGGAGTTAATTCGATTTCTCAACTCCTAATGCTACTTCTGTTGTTCACCAACAAATGTGTTGGTTGTAATGTCTTCCTAGCAGGGCTGGCAGTGGCTTGCACAAAGTCTTGAATTCCAAACTTGATCTACGTTGACACATTTAAATGTACATTTGCATTACAAATACACTTTAAGAGTGGGCTATTGCTCCTGAGAAGCAGGATACACAAAATACACAACAATGCAGTGATTTAATTGACATATAAATTACTGATTACGCTTCAAGGGCACAGCTTTGGGGAGGGAGAGGGGGGATATCCTTGCCTCGGTGGTGAATATTGATCGGATGGCACCAGTGTTTTTATTACAGATATACATCAACACTTAGAGTGGCCATGCTTGATTCCCACAGTCACCAACAAGAAGCCGCTGCAGGGCTACATCACGAAGGTGAAGCGCTTCGAGGGCGTCTCTTCCTTCGTGCGCCGCTCCCAGTGGACGCTGGATCAGCTGCGACAGGTCAACGGCGTGGACGGCGTCCGAGTAAGGTTTAGAAACTTGCTTCTAGATTTGAAGCTTTCGTGACTGCAAGGATTCATATTCTTAGGTTTTTCGGTAAAGTCACGTAGGTAAAAAAAAAAAATCTAAATTAATAAAAGTAAAATAAAATAAAAATCACGACGTTTCGGAGGCAACACAAGCTTCCGTCTTCAGGTGGAACCGTCACAACCCGACAGCTGTATCAAGTAATTGCTGTATCAAGTAATACAGCTGTCGGGCTGTGACGGTTCCACCTGAAGACGGAAGCTTGTGTTACCTCCGAAACGTCGTGATTTTTATTTTATTTTACTTTTATTAATTTAGATTTTTTTACCTACGTGACTTTACCGAAAAACCTAAGAATAGAAACTTCCGTTTAGAGTATTCAGCTGCTGCACATTTCCACGCGATAAGCCACTTCGTTGAGCTATCATATGTGGCCGGGTTGCTTCTGAAAAAAGAGCTATACAGCCCAGTGGGCCTTAACCTAGTAAAGTGAAATAAATAATAATACAAATGTTTAACATGCGTTGTTCACACGCATCTGAATGCAGCCGCATTTCAAGACACTGGTGTATTGGGCGCAATGGCGGCGAGATGTTAACTATCTCGCCTGGTATACAGGAGTGTGTGGGTTTGACCCCGACCCTGACATCTGTATATTTTGAATTTTCATGCTCTGCCCGTGGCCACTTGGATTATTCTCCAGATGTTAAAACACCAAAGACAATGCATATATTATCAGAGTAATTTTTTTGTTTGCATTCTGGCCACAAGTATTGTGGTTAATGCAGACATGATTCCTTGTAAAAGATTTCAGTTTGGTGTTTTAACATCTTAACACCTGTTTTGTTGCCAGAAATAAGGGGAAAACCTATTCTCATGCGTTTAGAGCTTTTATGCTGCTATCAATGTTCATGTGATGAGCCACTTCGTTGAGCTATCATTTGTGGGCAGGTTGCTTCTGAAAAAGAGCTCTATAGCTCAGTGGGCCTTACCTGGTAAAATAAAAATAGGTTAGGTTACAGTTTATTAGAGGATTAGGCATCTTAATGCAACCACATCTTCAGCCACTGGTGTATTGACCATCTCAATGCAGCATCTCAATGCAGATACTGGGGTACTGAGCATCTAAATGTAGCCAAATCTCAAGACACTAGTGTATTGAGCATATAGATTGTCGTGAGTTGAAGGTTTCAGCCCTGGCCACCAATGACGACACGTGGTCGTAGTAATAATATTTCAAGTTTTGTAAGGTACCTTTCACATGTAGATCCCAATGTGCACACACACATTTAAATTGACATATTATAACTTTTGGAATTCAAATTCTGTTTGAGTGACATGCAACAGACACTCTTTGAAAGGATAGTATGTCAAAGGTGTGTCACGAGTTGGGTGACGTGACTTCGGAAGTAGTTCCGTGACATCATTTTTTGGGAGCAGCTTTTTGACACGGGGTGGTACACTGCTAGCTGTCAGAGTTTCGTCTTATAATATGGTGCTGGTACTCTTTGTTACTTTCGGGAAAGTCACGTCGGTAAAAAATAATAAAAGTAAAAAAAAATACAGTAAATAAAATCACGACGTTTATTTAACTTTATTTTTTACTACTACTTTTATTATTGTTTGCCCACTTGACTTTAGCGAAAGAACCAAAAAGTATGGATCCTTGCAGTCACGAAAACTTCAAATCTAGAATGGTGCTGGTAGCTTCATCCAAAATTATATTGGGGGGAGCGGGGGTGTAAAGAGAAAAAGAAGGCAAAGAAAGGATGTTTATTCTAGTCGTGGATGCCTTTTAGTGAGCTGTATCAAGTGGCGCTGTTTGATAGCCAGCCAAGGAAAGCGAGGTGCCCCTCTTGATAGGTGGCTCAGAGGTCACAGCATTCAGTCAACAGCACTTCTTTTTAAAAATTTAGATTGAAAACTTTTCTTTGGAACTGCTTTTTGTGTTTAGTTCGTTGTCCTTCCCCCGCATCTCCGTTTAGCACGGTAGGCTACGTACGGTGCAAACGAAGTTCAACATACATACAAACCACACCACTGACATCCTGGATTCAAATCCTGGTTGTAGACACCCTGGTTAAAAAAGACAAACACATACTTGTTACATACAACCACCTCTCTATTAAGTGTAGCCATAAGTCTACCTGATCTGCTTATTTTCATAAAGTCAGATAATGCTATAGATGAATACATATTGGTATTTAAAAAAAAACATTTGTATACATTATTAATATTTCTCATTTCAATGTCAAACTAAGATCATGTGCTTGAAGTGTGTAATTTTATTAGACTTCCAAACATTTCATCACCTTGCAACTCATACGTCGATAGAATGCCACATACATCTACAGTAATATACATTTCATTACTTACCAATGGTTTATGTTTTTTACAACAGTCCAAAGTGGCATTTCGGTGTATAAAAGACCATGAAAGGTACTTATGTTTTCTCAATCTACTCTGGCATTTTCCAAGGCATCCCTCAAGCAATGGTTATTAATAATGCCTGTCAAAATGAATGAGTAACCCATTGATTATGCTTTATTTAACAGTCCCTTGATGCTCAAGCGATCATGACTTAGTGCTGGCCTAAGGCAGCTTCAATGCTGTAACAATCTGAGGCTACATTCACTATCAATAAATATTCTCTCTGGTAATGTGCCACAGAGGTAGAGAGTGCTCTTAGATTCCATTCACTTAGTCATGAACTTACAATGGAAATGATTGGTTTTATTGTCATGCGAAAATCATTCCTCTCAGTGGCAGAGCGGGTGGATAAGCCCTGCCACTTACCTTGTGGAACAGGTCACTTGATTGGGATCTAAAAAGTAGATCTGTGGTATCCACTTATGTGAGCCACTCTTTAACATGATGAGCTGCACTGTTCCGCTAGAGATTTTGCACGGATGCTTTGTCTCTTGACAAGGTACCAAATAGTACAATTGAAATTCCATTCATGAAAAAAAAATCAAACAATAAGCCTAGTCAAAGATTCACTCTGGAAGAAGCTATAATAACTTTGTTCTCTATGGTTAGCATATGTGGATATGTACATTTGAACCATGCTAATTTAATGAGAAAATAAGCAAATACGTTTGGATATATCTATGGGACCCTTTTGCAAGTATCAATATATTGATTGATAAATAAGGCTTTAGCCTTTCTGGTATAAAGAAAGGTGTTAAGATGTTCAAACCTCAAATAGACACCTATTACAAGGCATCACATCTGCATTCAACTATGGTGCAATAAATGTGGATGTCCAATGTGGTAAATAATCATCTTATATTTGTCCTGACTCTTTAAACATGTTGTGTCAACATAAGCATTTTACATCTCACCAAAAGCATCTTTAAAAAAAGTTTTACTTAAAGAGTTGTAAAAACAAATGGATAATATTTATAGTCTTGTACAAATCTACTCCTGGGGGAAGGGCCCTCCAGGTCATGTCGGTCATGGCAGTTGATTGATCAGACTTCTCCGTGCTGGGCAGTGCGGGTTGCTAAAACAGTGCCCCGGGATCAGCTCTGATGCAGAGGTGTGGACTCGAGTCATGTGACTTGGACTCGAGTCAGACTCGAGTCATGAATTTGATGACTTCAGACTCGACTTGGACTTGCATAACAATGACTTTGTCCCACCTCTGAGGTGTGGACTCGAGTCATGTGACTTGGACTCGAGTCAGACTCGAGTCATGAATTTGATGACTTCAGACTCGACTTGGACTTGCATAACAATGACTTTGTCCCACCTCTGCTCTGATGTCCCTAGCTACTTATGTTAGCTGCAGCCAGAAATCCAACTCAGTTATTTTTATTTTCCAACTCAGTTATTTTTATTTTACTTTTATTAATTTAAATTTTTTACCTACGTGACTTTACCGAAAAAAACCTAAGAATATGAATCCTTGCAGTCACGAAAGCTTCAAATCTAGAATCAGTTTATCAGGTTCAGAGCGCAGGTTGTGAGCTACCACACCACCTCTTCCACCAAAAGAGTTCCTATATCATTCGTATTCAAATGTTCTAAATGCCACAATTACACAGGATTGCAGATACAATACTGTCTAGCTTGGGGTTTGTAACAACAACATTTGTGCATGCAATGTATATGTACAGCCTTTTAGGGTACATTAATACAGACTACCACACAGTGTAATGGACCAGCTTTAATTTCAAAGTATTGTGCACAGTAATGGAATTCAATTATCCTACATTTTCTAATGCATTTTCTTTAACATTTGCTTTAACAATGAAAGATCAAGGGTTAAAAAATCACAGTGGCGGGGGGGGGGGGGAGAAGCCCAATGCAAATAAAGTATTTGGGAAACTATATTTCATCTTTGTTGTAAAAAAAAACCTTTATCGTTGACTGCCATGCAAGCCTCTTTTTCCCACGCCTTCCTGTATTTGCCGACTTGATGTTTGGTTCGTGTTTTATATAAATATGCAACATTGTTTCGCAGGACTGCCCAGAGTTTGACCTTCTCTTTGACAACGCACACGACCAGTGGGTGGCCGGCACTGCAGCTGAAAAGGGCTCCTTCCTGCAGTCCTTACACCACACATGCCAGCGGCATTTGGCTCAGAGACTGCAACCAGATTTCCTCAACTGCCCTTCCCGGATCCTCGTCGGTGAGATTAAAAGGCGATCTGCCACCCGCACGCCCAGACAACCATCACGTATATGTATATATGTATCGCCATCGTTGTTGTCAGCCATCTGGTCAGCCATCTGGTCAGCCATCTGTCCACTGCTGGATGAAGGCCTTCCCAAGCCATGCGCATCTCTCACAGTTTTTGCAATGCAACAGTTCATCCAACACCTACACACGTGCTGATTTCATCGTAATATGTTCTAAACTCGCTTTCTGTTTGCTCCGTTTGTTTTTTACTTTGCCCCCACTTTGACTGCATTGTCCATTACAATTCCAGTTATATCACTGGTTAGAGTGGTGACCTCATTGTCAGCAATGTCTTTGTACCCTCAGTAAATTCACCACGGGAAGTGATCAGAGGCTGGTGGGATGCACTATACTGTAGTAAAAAGAATATAGCTAATTACACAAAATATAATTATTGATCATTGTTCTTATTATTTCATCAATCGCTTGTAATTGCCCAATGTCATTGACCATATGCACCACAGACATTCTCACTATAATACCTGAAAACGTGTAATTCACACTTGCGTTTCTCTGTGTCATCATGAATTGACAATCAGGATAAAGATCACTGGTTATTTGTTAACGAATGCATAACCTCTCCTAATTGTTGGTGCATAATGATGTATACGTTTTCTCTCCAGAAGTCACATCCATCTGTACAAATTATTATAATTATTTAGTACATTATCGTATTGTTACACTGGAATACTGAAAACATAGAGCCTTAGCTGTGTACTTGAAGTCTTCTTTATTTCTGCTCAAATTGTATTCAGGTTATTATAATTGTACATTCGCTTTGTTTTCCAAGCAAAAATGAACAAATTGATTGTAGCATCCTCACTGTCCTAGAAGTTAAGCAATAGAGACATGGGAAGAAAGTGGTTATTTTCTTCAGGCCAATGAGTAGCCGAAGTTCTGACACATTTTTTCATTCTCACTGTCATCTACATTCCCTGAATTTTAGTGTCCGCTAATGATTTCCCTTAAGGGGCAGTGTCTCCCTTTCCCTGGGTATTAATTAATAAAGCACTGGGTCAATACTACAGTGTAATTTCCAGGTACCCTCATCTGTGTGTGAGGGCTGGTTTGTATTAGTACAACCTCTGCTCCGAGTACGAGGCAATCTTTTGCACTCTGCAAAAATATGCTTGAAAATCCAAAAATGGCAAATTATGCAGTGCATGCTTTTGAGTGCCTTACATCAAAATCACACTTTTGAACAAAACTGAAATGAACGTTTTCATTGAGCATCATTTTGTATTCTCCAAAATGCATTTTACATTGTTAAATAATTAAGTTAATATACACTACAGCCCTTTTATTAATCCACTGCTGGATGAGGGCCTCCCCATGCCATGTAGCTTAGTGGTGGTTATTTGATCATACTTCACCTCTGGTCAGTGTGGGTTGGTAAAGGTAGGTATCACAAACGTGGGAGCATAGAAGTACAGTCCTGTGAAGGATGTTGCTGCGCATTCCTATGCTGACTACCACTTAGTATTTATTTTCTTCAGGCCGATTAGTAGCTGAAACCGAATGTTGTATTTTGTTTTAGCATCAGCTAATGATTTCCCTCAAGGGACAGTGTCTCCCTTTTCCCAGGAAATTAATTAAGAAAGCACTAGGATAAAAATACACCAATATTATCTGAATCGTGGTCGTCCATGTAAACACTAATATGCCTATGAGCAAATCATCAGAAATGCCTCCAACTTGCTTCCATTGCAAGTTGAAGGCATTTCGGAGGATTTGCTCATAGGCATATTAGTGTTGAAAATATTTCCCTGGCAATCAGGTGGAGTGTATAGAATGTTGTTAAGTCATTAAATAATTCCCGTTTGATTCATTATCTCCACATACAAATACTATGTTTGAGTCTATCAGCGTTTTGGCCCCCCAGACTGATTCCACCAGTGTGTGGTTTGCATTCCTGACTAATCAGCCTCGGTATGAAATCAGTTCAGTGTCTGCAAGTTTATATAACGCTGCTGGTGATTATACATTTTTACGTGAAGATACATATTGGAAGTTAATTTATGTATAATCCAATCATTCTCCACTACAAAACTCGGTGAGGTTTTAATATAATTATTTTAAGACCATTTATGATTTTACTGCTAAACATCATCATCCATCAACATCTTCATCAGCCGTGGTCTATCCACTGCTGGATGACAGCCTTGCATCTCACGATCAAACCATTCCTCACAGTTAAGAGCTGTCCATCTCAATCCTACACACGAATTGATCTGAGGGCTTCGCAATCATTAAGTAATTTTAAGTTTAAACTTTCTTTATTTAATATTATTTTATACTATTATATTTTTTTCATGCCTTCGATAGAAATGTATTATAACGAAATTTTGTTTTGTATGAAAATAGCTTTTATTGTTCTTGCGATTGAGTCTTTTGACAATGTTTTCTTCTATCTGTACAGCACTTTGAATTGCATTTTTTGCACGAAATAGTGCTATAGAAACAAAGATTTTATTTATTGATCTCATCACTCCATCTCTCTACGGCCGTCATCCGCTTAGACACGTTTTTTTTCGGTTGTCATGCCATCAACTGCTCACCTTAGTACAATAGTGACTCTATATCTGTTGAATGTTTCTATAACTTCATTTTGTAATGGTCCTATGATCACTCTATGGTGGGCGCCACGGTGGCGAGATGTTAACTACCTCGCCTGATATACAGGAGGTCGTGGATTTTTCTCCGGGTCCTCCGGTTTTTCCCTCCACATTTAGAAACATGCGTTTAGACTATTTGGCTGCATTTGCACATGACATTCCACTTTGCTGAGCTATCATATGTGGCCAGGTCACTTCTGTTAAAGAGCTATGTAGCTCAGTGGGCATTATCTCGTAACAAAAATAGTTTCATTTACTCAATCACTCAGCCGATTTACGCTCTAGGAAATGTATTAATCAACGTTTAATTATGTTTGTGCAATAGCTTTGATTTCTCACATGACAGTTTTTGTTCCGATTTATGTTTTCCTCATTGCTTTACTTTATTTTCTATTTGTTTTGCTTCCGTGGTTTTGATGACCCAGATCACTTGCAAATGACCATTCCACATCTCTATCCTATGATATCACGTATTATATGTTTTCTTTCTATAGCAGTGTTCGCGATGGACTTGTTGAGCTGTTTGAATTATTATTTGTGCTTCACATTTTCACAGAACTCGTCTGATCAGGTTAATAATTCACTGGGTGTAAGGACCCACATTCCTCAACTTCCTTCTGCAAATAAACTGTTCAATGTTATTCCCAATGCCCCACTAGCTTGCTGTCCTGAGTTAACCCAAGATTAGATCTCCCACTGACTCGGTCACATTTATACAATGAGATTTGTTCTATTGTATTTGCTCAGGCCCCCAATGTTGTGTCGACTCTATTTGTTGCCTAGTCACCGTTTAAACGCCACCAAGTCTACAGATGACCCTTGGGTTTTTCATTTTGTTGGAATTGATTACTATTATAGTTTTCACAATATTTATGGTGTCTAAACGTGTAGTACAATTTACGTAGCTTTAAAAAAACTGATTATTTTTGTTATATGGTAGGCTGATAAATTATGAGAAAATAGAATTTTCCAAAACTGTATCTTCAGGAAGTGATTTTTTTTCTCTCCATCATAGCGAAACGAAACACAATCCCTGTGGGACCCTCTCTACATGAATAAAGGAGTTGAGGTATTTTTGTAGAGAATCGCTCCATACTTAGGGAGGAGATACAGACTCGCAATGCTGCATTACAATTATATTATATTCTCACGCGCATGGCAGCGGCATCTTCAGAGGCAAAATGCCAATCTTCTTGGTTCTTTCGGTAAAGTCAGGTAGAAGGAAAATAATAAAATGATAAAAATAAAACATAATAAAATAATTCTCACGACGTTTCTGCCACAACGCAAGCAGCCGTCTTCGACAGACCTGTTCTCCACCTGAAGACGGCTGCTTGCGTTGTGGCCGAAACGTCGTGAGAATTATTTGATTGGTTTATTTTTATTATTTTATTATTTTCCTTCTACGTGACTTTACTGAAAGAACCAATAAGATGAATCCCTGCAGTCACGAAAGCTTTAAATTAAAATGCCAATGTTGAGGTCTTCTTGCCACGAGAGGGCTTTAGAAGACAGTCCGTGTAGTGGTGCTATTCCTCCTCCATTTAAGGGGTGCAGACTACAGTGTTTTACTATTTGGTCCATAGTTTGAGTTGCCCGGCCACAATCGCACTACTGTGGCTTGTGTGTTTAATGTTGCATACATGAAGGAGAGTACAGTGGGCCTGTTGATGTTTAATGCGTACGATAGTTACACCAATTTGGTTGAGGCATCTCAGAGCCAGGAGGTGCGATGTTTGGGGGTCTGGAATTACGTTTTTTTTTCCTTCTGGACATCTGCATTGTTCCACACCGTTGACCAGCATTCTACCAGATCTGGACGAGATTCTAGGATGGTGGCAGCGCGATTCCTGAAAGGAGATCGGGACTTTAGCCTGCGGTGAGGTTCTTTGTTGAGGATTTTAGTTGTCGTTGGCAAGAAAACATGTATACCTCTTTGCAGTTTTTTCGATTTAAAGCTTTCGTGACTGCAGGGATTCATCTTCTTGGTTCTTTCGGTAAAGTCACGTAGAAGGGAAATAATAAAATAATAAAAATTAAACATTAACAAAATAATTCTCACGACGTTTCGGCCACAACGCAAGCAGCCGTCCTCAGGTGGAGAGCAGGTCTGTCAGACTCTGTCTACTCGACAGACCTGCTCTTCACCTGAGGACGGCTGCATGCGTTGTGGCCGAAACGTCGTGAGAATTATTTTATTATGTTTTATTTTTATTATTTTATTATTTCCATTCTACGTGACTTTACCGAAAGAACCAAGAAGATACCGCTTTGCAGTTTGCGTAATGTCTCTACAGATTAAATACCCCCAAAAAATGCATTAAAATAGGAGGTG